GCCAATGGCTGCAGACAAAATGTCCCATGCATTCATGAACCAAGTAATGCAGCATCCATAAACAACTGGCAGCCAACAATGACAGGTCAGCATGCTCACCCTGGACAGGCCTCCTTCTTTGGGTTCTCCGGCTTGGCAGCCTGCGACATCGGCTTGAAATGGAAGACTCTTAGATGCTGGAATCCCTGCGGCTTCCCCTCGTTGCCCACAAACACGGGGCACCACCCCGGGGGGTCTGAAGACATCTTTGTGTTGGGAGCAAGGAGATGTAGTGCATCTCATCTTGAGATTCGAACTTGTTCTTATCTTGCAAACACAGATGATGGCATCCCCCTTCCTATGATAGATACTGCGTGTTGAACACCAAGTGCTCAGCTGCAAAGCCTTCTTCCAAACTTCACTCCTTTCTAGACCCAGCCCTACCTTCAGGAATAGGGGAAAATAGAATAATATAGGGATGGAATCAAGGAAATAATGTATAGGGGTTGTATAAGGTTTCTCTTCACCTATTCCCGACTAACCTCCAGCAATCGAAGCTGAGGCAACCCACCTTCTTCTCCTTCCTAACACGCCCATCTTTGGAGCGTGTCTCTGGTCGCATCGGGAAGCCAAATCGCACGCAGTTTTTCGTGGAACGGCTGTTGACATAATTCTGCTTTCCCCTATAGAACAACATTAACCATAGGCCCTAGCTTTTTTAAGGCTGTTTTAGGTATAAAGGGCGAATGAGGGGGTTTGACCAGAAGCCGTGGGTCAGGTTATCTCGCGAGGCTTGGCTTACAGGCGTTTGGCCGTGACGCCCTCATCTGGAGCCTGTAACAAATGCAGGTGTCCTAGGGGACCTTTGAAAAACTCCCGTCAAGGCAAAGGTTACATCAGAGGGTTTGGGGTCGATGCTGCCTGCACGGTTCCTACTTCGAGATGAGCCGAGGCCCCTGTGACTTGAGCCTTACACGCTGTCCGCAAAATCAATGGTTGATACCGAGCGTACCTGGCCGTTAAGGCATCAAGCCAGCGTGTCAAGCATTTCGCTGCCACTCATGTTGCTGAGTTGCCGGCATTGTGGTAATTCAGGGTTTTTGTAGGGGGCATGTTTTCAGCTTCAGACGCACAGCAAGTGCTGTCCAGCAACTGTGGGACAATATCCATTCAGAAGGAGCAAGCTCTGCTCACATTAGGGAGCCCTACAGTCATACCCTCCAACAAACCCACGCTGCCCTTGCTGCGCTTCCCCTTCTCTGCCTGTTATGAAAGGGCCTTGGGCTTAGTAAAGCTACCAGCTATTGTGCCTACGTTCAGGCTACTCGTGAATGCGCAGCAAGTTCTGCGTGTGTGGCTCGACGTCCCAGGATCAGGAACTGGATGACTCTGGCAAAGCGTAACAGCTGAAATGGACATATGAAGCATAGAAACGAAGAGAGTGAGATGGAGATGGACTGTTCAAGAGTTCCAGATTAGCAATGCAAAAGAACTCAGGGAGAAATATGTATAGTTCTATATATATATAGAGAGAGAGAGAGATGGATGGGGCATTTTTGGCATGAGGAACCACGACAAAGTATGCCAAACAACTGCGGTGAATCAACAGTCAGGACTCTCGTAAGTAGACATCCCGAACGCGGCGCACTTCTGGATGGAAAGGGTCCGCTACAGTAGGACCCCTGCAAAAATATAGTCCCCCTTAAGTAGATAGAATCTGGGGTATATGGGACTATATATACAAAGCACAGAATGTACCTATAGACCTTGCCATCTACCCTCTATTTTAATTGACCATTACCCTAAAAATACCCGCTACTAGGACCACATAGCCAGATACCCTTGTTTAAGGATACAAGCAGGGTCCTGGTAGGGGCAGTCCGTCCCCCTGAAGGGTCATGAAGGCTTGTGTTGAGAAACTTTCATCTTTTTGTGATCCTAACCACGACACCATACGACACCCCAAAACCCTCCACCCGGAACTCCAAACACCAGATTCCCGATATGTACCCTCAACCTCTTACCCCTGCAAAACCTAAATCCTCCTCAAACCAGTCAGTCACTTGACGCTTCAACCGTGTTGGCACAAAGTCCTCACGCAGTCTGGATGATGGGTCGCTTGGAGGCCCGCGCACCTGCAGTTGCAATCGGCTCACATGTTACAGGGGCTCCCTGCAGCAGTCTATATGACCTGCCGTAATTATACATGACAAGGTAGGGGAACACTCGAATTCTAGGATTAGCTCTGGAGACCAGGAAGAAACTTCAGGATAATGGTGTATGGGTTTCAAGGCATCAGCAGCGGAAGCTTTACTGGAACTCAGCTGATTTCCTGCCATAGTAGCTTCCCAAAAGCAGGGTCACAATTTGTGCAAAGCCACATCTATCATGGCACAGGACTCAGCGTTTTTTTCCTCAGTACCTTGCGCTTGAAATTGGTGGTACATCTGAAATCGGCAGTGACGTATCAAGAGCTGCGGGGGCCGTTCTTCCCCCATCGGGCCAGGCGCTTGTCTCGTGGCGCCAGCGGTCGGTTCACCCGGGCGTTGGAATCTGCGTTGGTCTCTGCAAGTGGTGGTACAAGCCGAGCGTACGGAGGGGCACCAGGGAGCTCGGACCAGTGGTGGACATACCCATAGATGTCCTTGTAGCGCGTCTCCTCGATGGTGTCATGGCTGAAGCCTATTCCCTGCAGCTTCAGAATGACGCGCTGCTCTGGCTTGTCAATTTTGGTGACTAACAAGTTTGCCAAGAAGCCTCCAACTTTTTGAAGCTTCTTGGGCACTCCTTTGAGCAATCTCCAACGGAGAAGCCCCAAACACTCTGCGTTGAGGTCGAGCATCAAGCCCGCGCGAGTCTTCTTCACGATCTTGCCCTCGTAGAACTTGTCTTGGACAAGACCTTCGATGGGCATTCTTTGCTTGCATGTCTTCACACCGCCTCGGGTGTAATCATCTGGGCCATGATGGCCATGGCCGACCACCTCCTCCAGCAGCAGCTCTCTCACCTCGCGCAGTGCCAAGATGGCATCCGAATTATTCTTGGGCTTGCTGGCCATCACGTTCCTCACCTGAGAACCCGAAAAAGAATGAAAAACAAATGAGATATGTGTGTGTGGAAGAGCACCAAAAAGTTGAGTTCTTGCATCGCTTTTTTCCCGTATCAGATGTTGACCTACATGCAATACCCAAGCAAAGGTTGCCCTACAGCTCCTGGTCATCCTAATACACTGGTTCGTTGGACAACTGATGCTATGCCAAAGTCTGGTGACGGACTCGCTCAAATTGCTGGGTCGGAGGAGCACATTGTCCGAGACAACTCGGTTGAAAAGGAGCTCCTCAGGCTCTGGCTCCTCAATCTCCTGCTGTAGCTGAGGGTGAAGCTCAATGGTTTAGGGTGTACCCATTGGGAGAATATAGGGTTTATATTGGGGTTATATTGGGATAATGGAAAAGAAAATGGAAACTACTGTTTAGGGTTTAGGGCTTAGGAGATCTCCTGCTGCAGCTGAGGGTGAAGTTGAATGAAACCTCCCAGTTCGGCTGCTGAAGCAGCTGGCTTTGGAACAGTCATGTTCCAGAATTGCTTAGCCTCACACGCCTGGACTTGTGCCAAACAACTGTCCGACAGATTTTTGAAGGACACCTTCTTGGTAATTGGTGGTCGGCTGGGAGCGGCAGGCCCTGGCACTGGCTTCGAGTCTTCTCGCTTCATGCCTGCTAAGGTTAAGATCTTTTTTGGGGGACGGCGGTCCCACCTACTCACCAAAGGCTTAGAGCCGATGGCTGCAGGGAGAATGCCCAAAGCATCCATGAACCAAGTCTCACAGAATCCGTGAACAACTGGCAGCCAGCAAATGCAGGTCAAACTTGCAGATCAATATGTGCCATAGTCTAAACTCCTAGTATCCCCCTTAATAAGCCCTACAATAGTCCCCTATATACCCCCTATATATCCCCCTTTAAGGAGTTTAGACTATGGCTCATATGACTTTTGGACTTTCAGGTGACGAAAGCGCTGGACGGGCCTCCTTCCTTGGGTTTCTCCGACTTGGCGGCCTGCGAAAGCGTTTTGAAGTGGTGGACCCCGGAAGACATGAGTCCCCTGGATTCGCATCATTGCTCTAGAGCACTGGCCATAGTAGTAGTTTCCAGCTGATTTTATATTATCCCAACATAACCCCTATATCTGCCCCATATTAGGCCTATATAAACCCCCAATAGGAATCCCATATATATATATATACACTTCATATGATAATCTTTAAGGGGGGGATTCATATCAGGGGAGGGTCTGAAGAAGTCTTTGGCTGGCTTCAGGCTGAGAACTGACATGTAGTGGATTGGGTCAATCCCCCACGCGGTTTAGGGTTTAGGGCTTAGGGTACCAGAAGGGACAATTGTAGGTATCTTAAGGTCCCATGAACTCCATCTTAAGGAGCTATTCCTACAAGGGGGACTGAACTAAGTAATGGACAGTTCGGAACAGTGTCGAATAGGTTCCTAAACCCTCAAGCCCTACACCCCAACCCCTTAGCCCCAAAACTTCTCAGCCAAGACTGCATCCCCATCCCGATCATGCATATGGCTCGGTAAAAACCAAGGGCTCTGACAGCCTTACCCGCACAGAATGTACTGCCAAATCCAAGCCAAAGTCCATGATGCCCTACCTAACCCAGATCCACAACCTAAACTTACTAGAACTTACTAGTGGTTAGTAGGGAGTAGTAGGTAGTACGGGAATATATTATATGAGGTTTATTTCCCTATTATTCCCTACTAACCCTTCAGCAATGAAAAACTGAGGCAGCGCACCTTCGTCTGCTTCCTACCACGCCCATCTCTTTTTAGCGTCTCTCTGTTCGAAGCCAGATGGCTCTCTGCTTCTTACAGAACGGCCGCTGGCTAAATCCTGCTGTCCCCGATAGGTTTAAGGTTTGGGGTGGTAGTAGACTACCATTAGCCCTAGCTTTATATATATATATAGAGATAGAGAGAGTTATGGGTCCCATAAGTATGGTAATGTAGTATACTACCACAAGCCCTACTGTAGCTGCCCTAGTTTTTGGAGGTATATACGGTGTAATCAAAATACTATCAGGATTCCCAGCGTTTGAAGTGCATAGGCCGATGAAGGATCTTGTCCATAGGGTTTAGGGTTTAGGGTTGGTTTGCTATGTGCTCTTTTGGGCCTTGCTTAGAAAGAATTTGGCAATGGGGCCGCGATCTGTACCCTAGAGACCCAAGCAATATATTCTACAAGGGTTCAATTATGGCGCCAGGCGATCTTGCTTACTGGAATCATACTGTACTCTAAACAGACCAAGGCCCTAACTTGAGCCTCACGTGCTGTCTGCATCACTGAATGTTCATACTGAACACATTTGAGCGTCAGAAGCCTAGGCATCAAACTAGCCGGGGCAAGCACTGGGCTGCTCATGTTGCTGAATTGCCCACCCTGTGTGAGCTGGTGGTTTACGTAAGGGGGTTTTCTTTAGGCTTCAGCCTTGTAATTTTTGTTTCGCATCAACTGCTGGGGACTGTTCAGTAGGGGCAATTTTTGCGCATGTTAGGGAGCCTTACAGGCATAATCTCCAACAAACCACGATGCCACTGCACTGCGCTGTTGGATATCAACGGGCCACGCATTACCTGGAGTCCTTGGTTTCGGTAAGTCATCGACCTAAACCCTAAACCATTTAGGGTAAGCATCCTGAATAAGCAGCTTGCAGTCCAAACCGCCTGAATAGAATGATCGGGGATGTAGGGCTTAGGGATAACAATCAGGAAGAGAAGGATAGAAGCGACTGGGAGCAAGAGCTGGAAGAAAGCCCGTGTTCCTAGCTAGTGGTACTTGCAGTAGAGGAAGATGAGACGCACAGATGGGGCTATACAGGGGAGTGGAGTCTTATTGGGGTTATTAAGCGGGATGCTAGGAGTTTGGACGAAGGCTCATGTGGTGTTCCCACCACGAGGACTGAATCCCTAAACTCTACTTGGAGGGTCAGGGGGACTTAGTAAGTAGGTAAATAATGGGGATATTCAGGGTTACTATATGAGGTAAAAGGCTTATTAGCCTACTTACTCATGTCCCCCTGATTCTCCAACCCTGAACCCTAAACCCGAAACCCTAACGCTGCATTTTGCTTTGCCACGGGACAGCTGTCGGGTTCCTGCGTCAATGAGGCAGTCCCCCAAGGGCTCCATGTAGCTATGTAGTATATACTTAGGGCCCACAGGGGTTCCCATATAACTACTTCAGGATATCCCTATAAACCTTATATAGCTACATTAACTACTTCAAGGCCCAAGTATATCCCTAAACCCTGAGCCCTAAACCCTATATAGCTAAATTTACTACTTTAAGGCCCAAGTATATACCATGTAGCTACATGGAGCTATAATCCAAACTCCTAGCATCTCCCTTAATAACCCCTATAGCAGTCCCCTATATAATCCCCTATATACCCCTCTTGAAGGAGTTTAGACTATAGCTCATGTAGCTACATGGAGCCATTGGGTCCAGGTCACGCAGGCGGAGCGCGAACGAAAGCGTCAAGGCCAGGGTTGGCAGCCAGGTAATCGGACAAGAGAGTCCTGCCAGGATAATGGAAAATACAATTTAGGGTTTAGGGTTTATATGGGTTATATAGGATAATGGAAAAGCACATGGAAACTACTATGATAGGGTATATACTGCCAATCAATTGAAGTTAATTACTGGGTTGCTTACTGGAATATGGGTGTATAGGGGGTAGTTATATAGGGGTATATAGGGATATATAGGGTTCAGGGTTCAGAGCTGCCAATCAATTGCGGTTAATTAGTGGGTTGCTGATAGGGTTTAGGGTAAATTTTCCCTTTTATTCGAGAATCAAGTGGAAAGGAACATGGAAAATTAACTGGAAACCGGGAGGAATATAGGGATTCAAGGGACTTAATTTAAGTTACTATATTAGGGCAACCAGAAATTACTACATATACCCATTACGGTAGCTTACTTTAAATTCCTTAACAGCAACCCGGACCGAAAACCCTAAATCCTAAACCCTAAGCCCTATATAACCCCATTGTAGTAGCTTCCATGAAATCCTAAACCCTAAGCCCTATATAACCCCATTATAGTAGTTTCCATTTTCATGTCCATTATCTTTATTTAACCCCAGTATTCCAATAAAGGGGCCCAGACTTACTGTCAGGAAGGCCGCCACTTAGCTAAGTCGAGTTGCGGCAAACTCGAAACTTGAAATGACGTTACTGGGAACCCCAAACAGGGAATCCCAATAATCTATATAGTAAGAATACAGAAGTAATATACCTAAACCGTAAACCCCATTATGTTTTACTATATTCTTGGGGTTTCCTGTTTGGGGTTCCTGTTAGATTTTTTTTTAACTGTCCTCCGGTCTGACAAGCAAGTGGAGTCCAGGAAATGCTCCCACAGCCTTGTAGGATTTAGGGTTTAGGATTCAGGGCTTAGGGTGGATCACAGCCTTGTGAATAGCTTTCCCTATGTATTTACGGAATCATATTTGAAGGATTTTGGCTCAAAGACCATATTATATAAGGTTTCTACGGGATTTTGATGCTTAGGGCTTGGGTGCATTGGCTCTAGCTCTTCTCGATAGCCCTGTCTGAGTCGTCTGCCCAGCAGCCGCATGCGCTTGAGCCTCAGGATATCTCAGACCCATCGCACAACCAAAGCCTCAGCCATTGCAACCCAAGCTGTATATATGAACCCTATATAACCCCTATATAACCTCTGTATGTTTAAACCCAATATCCAGGAGGACACAGCTGTATGCAATCAAGACACGCAACTCCGCAGGTAGCCTGGAGCCTGCAAAGGGTTGGTCACCAAAAAAGCTCAGAGCAAATGAGCCAACTGCCCGCAGCAAAATGCAGCCAAAAGGCAGGATACAATGGCTTCCCTTCCACCAGCCCTGGCTATGAGAAGAATGCGAAAACGAAACAGGCTCCACACGGCCACGCGCCTTTGGGTAGCTCCTCTTCAGATATGACCTCCAGACGCTGTTGAACTGACCTCTGTGGGCTAAGGACAGCCAGAAGAGAACTTGAGATCTTTTGCCGCTCTTCTTCCGCTGCTCTTCTACACAACCACTCTCAACAGTCCGGTTTGCTCGTGCATTCAGGCTGCTTTGCAGTTCCAGCATCATCACATGGATGAAGCGGCACGTCCACCTGCAGACCGTTGATTCAGATCCAGCAGCTCCACAAGCCCAAATTGTTCGGCTGAAGCCTGCGGCTGGGGCCAAAGAGGACGGATCGATCTCTGCAACCACTCGCGAACATAACCTTGTTATGAGGCCATCGGCCACAATGCACCAAACATTAACTTGCTCAAAAACTGTTGCCGAGGAAAATGCAACCAGCTGTTCTATGACCATGTGCTTCTGGAACGGTTCTGGATTACACGCATACTCAGCACCAGAGAACATAGTGGCACGCAACGATTCGTTTCCTCAGCCGACGGCCCGTATCATCACAACATCGAGTCAGTTCGCCGTCAGGCGCCCACAGCCTGAGGAAGTCTCAATGACAGCTACTCCCAGC